GGATATGCATAAGAGAAATGTATAAAAATATTGATGCTTATAATAATCTCAAGCTATGAGAAACCCAAATATTATCAATAGATAAATTATGAATTCATATAATAGAATATCATTAACAGCTATGAAAATTAAGTTCTGCAATATATGCCATAAAATAATCCCACAAACAAAATGTTGAACAAAGGAAACAAAGCAAAAAGGAATGTATAAATTTATAAGAAGCTGGGAAGCAAGCAAAACTAATCTATATCTTGTTACTCATAAATGTAGTTAATTTTGAAGTAGAAGCTGGAAGTAGTAGTAAAAGGGGTCACCACCAACTTTCTCCTTGTTGACCTGACTGTATTCATTTTGGACCAAAGAGTTAATTTTTGCATTTTTGCACATATATGTTATCCTTCAATTAAAATTGTAAAATAAAATTCCCATTTTAAAATCTACTAAACTATTCTAATTAACCAACTCTTTAAAATAAGGTAATTTGGGCATGACTTGTTAAAGTGAGTTCATTTGGGTAGAAGTGGTCAATATATTCTTTTTTAAATGCATATAAAGTTTCTGTTTAATAATCACTTTCTTTGCTAATAATCATTTGTTTGTTTGTTTGTTTTTTACTCACCATCAGATTAGTAAAGAGTGATCAACATGAAGCTTACCAATTCATAATTTCTATGGTCCACTCTTCTTGCCACTTTGTAAATTATGTGTTTTTTCTGATGACTTTTTCAGTGCTTATGATTTAAAAGATTAATGACAATTCAAAGAAGAGACCCAATATGCAGGAGTCTTTCTTTCTTTTTTTAATACAGGAGTAAAGACTAATGGAAGGTAAAAGTAATAACTACAACTACAACTACAGAGAGACTTTCTGACTAAAATAAAAATCAAAGTCTACAGGTTGGCCATTTCTGAGCAACCATATTCTATAAAAAAAAATTAAAGGAAAAACTAAATACCAACTCATATTTTTTAATTTAAAGGTTACAGGGGGAAAGGCTATATAAATATCTAGACAGATAAGAAATAAAATAAAAGATTATCTGTAAGGGACAGAAATCAGAAGGCCTTCCCATTTCTAAACAACATAGAAAGCAAGAAGACAATGGCTAAGAACTCCAGTCCTGATTCAGTAGAAGAAAGGGAGAGAGGGAGAGAGGGAGGGATAGAGGGAGAAAAGAAAGAAAAGAAGGAAGAAGGGATTCAACCATGAACAATCTACAGATGTAGGACCCAAGGATTCTCTTTCTGTTGGGCTGTTACCACTGCCAAAGAAACAAAAAGACATTATTAGTTTACAAAGGCTGAACATGCATTATCCAAATCCCCTACCTAAATGCTATCTGTGACACACTCCATCTTACCAAGAATCAAAAGAAAGAGCTCAAGTCCTGTCAACACATACCCAGAAATGGGATTGCTAGATCATTGTCCTTCTATTTTAAATTTTTTGAGTAACTTTTATATTTTTCTCTATAATTTTTGTGCTAATTTACATTATCACCAACAGTACACAAGAGTTGCTATTTTCTACATCCTTACCAACATCTATTTTTTTGCATTCTGTTAATAGACACTCTGATACACATGAAGGAATCTTTGTGTTAGATTTACATTTTCCTGAGACTAATGTGTTGAGAATTTCCTTCATGTATTTGTTGGTCAGTTGTGTCTTCTTGTCAGAAATATCTATTCAGATATTTTGCTCATTTTTTAAATCAGGTTATCAGAGTCTCAGAGAAGTATTTGCACTCTCACATTTATTGCAGTTGAGGATGTTTTTACTCAATTGTCAAAGTATGAAATCAACTTGAGTGCCTACCAACAGATAAATTGATAAAGAAAATGTGATATATATATATATATATATATATATAT